TTAGTGTATTTGTTAAAGTTTCATTAAACATTAATGTTTATACCCTCTCTAATAATTCTGATTTGCAATAAGAATTCTTTAACTTCTGTCTTTAATCCTCCAGCTTCCAGTTCACTGCATGGTCTTGAGGTCCACAGTGAATCGGCTGGAAGAACATGGGCAATTGGTATTAAGGAGCTTCCCAGAACAAGGCCTGAGGATTGTCTACATTTTTTTAAAAAATGAGATACTTTAACTTCCAGAAGAGAAGCCCAGGGTGTAATATTCTTTATAACTGACAATTTCATTATTCTTTGCATTTATTAGATCTTTAAATCACTGCTGAACCGGGGATAGAAATTGACTTAAACTCCGGCTTATTTTCTCACGGGGTGACTTAGGATTGTTTGAAAGCAAGAACATAAGAAACTCTTCACAGCGAGACTCGGCACTGACACAAGCATCGAAGTGGGAAGATCCTTTCACAGGACTTGCAAAAGGCAAGTGTTGTCTGGCTCTAAGCCAGATTCACTCTGGCCAGATGAAGGCGGTAAACTCACATCTTCTAGACCCTTTGCTTTGAACACATGAAGGTCACACTGGAAACTCACATTTGAGTCAAACTATAGTATTTTATTTAAATGGTTGGCAGTTCCCGGTTATATCACACATTTCCATTTAAAGAAAAACTGTTCAAAGAAAACATGTCAATTTGTACTCATTTTTCAGTTTTTAGCAAACATTCAGAACTCAGTAAGGTGCTCAATATTAGATTATTATTTTTAACAAAACCTGCAATGACCATGATCCTTGGAGATGATTCTGTAATATTGTGAAGTTTCCACACGTCTGTGACTACAAAATAACCGTAACGTACCACAATTTTTGCCCTTAGCCTAACACGGCAACATATAATTAGGTGGAACGGTAGGTAGTTTTATTTTCACATTACAGGAAACATAAAGACCAATTCTTTGAGCATGGATTACGTATTCTATGAAGGTAAATGGGAAAAGGAGACACATGTTATTTCTCAATGGAAAACAGCAATCTTACAAATATTAGAACACTAACATTTCTATCTTGGTTTAGTGCATTCACACAAGGCAACGGACACGGGTTAGGCTGATGTTATATTTTCTTTCCCTAAACTCTAAAAGTTTTAACATACATTTCTCCTTTTTTTCCGCTAATAGTGTGTCAAAAGGTATAAAAATTTCAATCACAGAATCTGAAAGTGAAATAATTTCACTTTAAAATTAATTTTTCCAAATTCCCCAAATCTATGAAGCTATTATTTCTGTCCATCCTCAGGGCTTCAAAGCCAAAGTAAAGTGCTGGAGAACAGAACACCGCAACATCAAATTCCTACCATGTTTCCCTTGCTCAATAATCTCTTTGTTAATATGTGTACAATGATCAGGTGTCAACCATGAATTTTAACAGGAGTGAAAAACTTCCTTGTTGTCATGTTTCCTACAATATCCTTTTCTCTTGGTGAAGATTCTAGACAGTCACCCACCCCAGTTACTCACCCTGACACTCACTACAAAGTCTTTCTCCCCAGTGGGAGAAACTGTCCTCCCGCACTCTTGTGACTGTGGTGGGGCCCCCAACGATGACACCACACACCCTGGCCAAGGAGAACCACAGGTCCTACGACTGCCTAGTCACAGCGTGCCACCTGCTGGTCCATCGTGATTGGCTCAGAAGCCTGCACCTTGCAGGGTGAGGTGCTCATGTTTCCAGGCTGTGTGACCATTCATAATTTAACAACACGTGAACAAAGAGTTCACGAATCCTGTGATGTGTATCATCACAGAAGCCAGCTCACAATTCATGACCACTGCTCGCAACGGGAGTGGGAAACCAAGGTAGCAGTGGGAAAAACCCTACTCTCCTGGAAGAGCAGGACCAGGATGTATCAGGACGCCGAGACAACCACGTGGCCTTGTTCTGTTGATCTGACACAGTGATGGCAACAAGGACAGGGCCATTTGTAATTATTCATCACAGATCCACACGTCCTTCACCCCGTGCGCGCACACACACACACCAAAACAAGATAACAAGTTCACTCACGAGACTATTTGGTTGGCTTTCCAAGGGCACTCTGTGCACAGCCAGCCCTCGCCCCGTCCCCGGGGGAGCCCCAGCCTGTGCCCACGAGAGTCCCTCACTCACTCATCGCACCCTCTCCTTCTGACTGCTGGACCTGCACTTGCACTACTGCTCCCCGCAGCACCTGCAGTGACCTCACGGAAAGTCCCCGCAGCACCTGCAGTGACCTCACGGAAAGTCCCCACAGCACCTACAGTGACCTCCCGGAAAGTCCCCTCAGCACCTGCAGTGACCTCCCGGAAAGTCCCCTCAGCACCTGCAGTGACCTCACGGAAAGTCCCCGCAGCACCTGCAGTGACCTCACGGAAAGTCCCCGCAGCACCTGCAGTGACCTCACGGAAAGTCCCCGCAGCACCTACAGTGACCTCCCGGAAAGTCCCCTCAGCACCTGCAGTGACCTCCCGGAAAGTCCCCTCAGCACCTGCAGTGACCTCATGGAAAGTCCCCTCAGCACCTGCAGTGACCTCCCGGAAAGTCCCCTCAGCACCTGCAGTGACCTCCCGGAAAGTCCCCTCAGCACCTGCAGTGACCTCCCGGAAAGCCAACTCGTATCCTCACCTTCTCACTCATCTTGTGAACAAGCCCTCCACGGCTCACCCAGTACAGTCGGGACAAAATCCAGAACCCTCACGTGGCTTCACAGCGCTATAAGATCTGAGCGCTGCACTCTTTCCACACCTGGTATCCTCCCTCTCCTCTAAGCACCCGCCCTCCTGCTGCTTCACGGGCACGTGTCAGGTCGTTTCTGCTGTAAGATCTTTCGTTCTCTGTTCCCTGTGCCTGGCTCGCTCTTCCCTGACATCTGAAAATGACTTGCGACTTTCTACTCAAGTAACTCCTCAAACATTATCTATTCTGAGAAAACGTCCTTAACTGCCCTGCCCCCTGCCCCTCCCATTAGTCACCTTGTTATTTATTTATCACTACCTTGGATTATCCCGTGCACGGCTTCACTTCTGTATTGTCTGTCTTCCACTTCAAAATGTGGAAGTGACAAGACTAGAGACTTTCTTTGCCCTTGTAACTCTGCAACCCTAATGCCTATAGCGTGATTGGCTCATGATGGGCCCTCAACACGTGCATTCTGTGATAAACGAATTATAGATACATGAGCACAGATGAAAGCTCAAGTAATATGAGAACAAAAAAACTAGACAATGAACTTGGCAACAGAGACACTACCAATGCCCTGAGAAAAAGTCGTTTCACTGCTTTAGCTGCATAAACATTGTAAGTTTGTAAGTTAAAGTAACTGCGAGTTAGATAAGGTAAAAGTCTCTATAGAAAGACTACATAATAACTTGTTGGAATTTTTTTTTTTTTTTTTTGGAGACAGAGTCTCGCTTTGTTGCCCAGGCTAGAGTGAGTGCCGTGGCGTCAGCCTAGCTCACAGCAACCTCAAACTCCTGGGCTCGAGTGATCCTTCTTCCTCAGCCTCCCGGGTAGCTGGGACTACAGGCATGCGCCACCATGCCCGGCTAATTTTTTATATATATATCAGTTGGCCAATTAATTTCTTTCTATTTATAGTAGAGACGGGGTCTCGCTGTTGCTCAGGCTGGTTTTGAACTCCTGACCTTGAGCAATCCGCCCGCCTCGGCCTCCCAAGAGCTAGGATTACAGGCGAGAGCCACAGCGCCCGGCCTCTTGGAATTTTTTATAATGTGCAGTAGATGGAAAAGCAAAGGGAAGACAAAGAAATAAAATCGAATTTCTTCTAATAGATTTGCCTGCAAATGGCAGGGATTGCACAGTGTGAATTAGAAGGAGACCAAAGATAAAGAGAGGGTATGTAGTTTTGCATGTTTGTCTTTTAAAAAATCATTATAGAAACTTGACTTTGTTTACATATGGTAAGCAATAAGCTGGCAGACACGGAAAGACTGAAGATGTTATACAAAGCAGTGATTATTACAGCAAAGATTATAAAGACAGTAAACGATGGCTCCAGAGTCTAGAACACAAACTGAGGGATTGGGGACATGTAAGAGAGAACGACGAAGGCTGCCGAGTGTGATAGCCACAACAGTAGCAGCAATAAGAAGGGCAGGCAATGTTCCGAATGTTCCTTGGGCATGAATTAAACTGATACCTCTGTACGCTGGTAAACAAAATGTCAGAGAGACCCAGCTCGGTGGTTTTTATCTTCCTTGTGAACAAAGATGTGAGTGCACTCAATGAGAACAAAAAAGAAAATGCCATTTTATGAAGCCTAATATGAACACAGAGTTACAGTGGCAGCCCATAGAAAGAGACGCGAAAGGTGACACAGGACAAAGATCCGGAAGTGTGCGTGGTCTCGCTACGAGTAAGGGACATTCCTCTGTGATGACATTCGTGCAGTCGCAGGTCTCCGTGACAGCGTGTGGGGACAGAACACTGGACTGTAGTCATACATGTGCTAAGAAACAGAGAGCCTGTGACTCTTGACAGTCAGTTAGGCAAGTAACGGTGCACTGAACACCGGGAGACTTTGAATCCAACAGTCTCAAGTTCAAGCTCTGGCTCTCTCACTTAATACTTGTGAAGCCTTTTTAATGCACATAAACTGGGTTTCCATGTCTTATACTGTAAAAGAAGGATAAGTATAGTGACCACAAAATAGAGCATTACATGAAAAGTACCTACAAATTTCCTAGTAATTTGTGAGTAATAAGTACTTAGGCATCGCTGTTCCTAGGATAACTGTTAGTGATAAGTACTTAGGTATTGCTGTTTCTATGATAACTGTTAGTGATAAGTACTTAGGCATTGCTGTTCCTATAATAACTGTTAGTGGTCAGTACTTAGGCATTGCTGTTCCTATAATAACTGTTAGTGGTCAGTACTTAGGTATTGCTGTTCTATGATAACTGTTAGTGGTCAGTACTTAGGCATCGCTGTTCCTATGATAACTGTTAGTGATAAGTACTTAGGTATTGCTGTTTCTATGATAACTGTTAGTGGTCAGTACTTAGGCATTGCTGTTCCTACAATAACTGTTGGTGGTAAGTACTTAGGCATTGCTGTTCCTATAATAACTGTTAGTGGTCAGTACTTAGGCATTGCTGTTCCTACAATAACTGTTAGTGGTCAGTACTTAGGCATTGCTGTTCCTACAATAACTGTTAGTGGTAAGTACTTAGGTATTGCTGTTCCTATACTAACTTTTAGTGATAAGTACTTAGGTATTGCTAGTCCTATGTTAACTGTTAGTGGTCAGCACTTAGGCATTGCTGTTCCTACAATAACTGTTAATGGTCAGTACTTAGGCATTGCTGTTCCTACGATAACTGTTAATAAGTACTTAGGTATTGCTATTCCACTGATTCTCAACCTCCTCCTCCTCCTTATCATTTTCATAGTCATAACAATCAATGAGCATTATGGACTGAATCTAGTATTAAGTTGAATTGTCTCTAAAGAACTTCCTAGATCCCAAATTACTTTATTTTAGTTCACATAAACCCTGTATACATATTAGTTGATATCATGCTAAAATAGAAAGAAGGAAAACTAGAGAAATGACAAAGAATGTATTCTACCTCTACAAATAATCATCTATTTGTATTTTGTCGCTCAAGTGCCAATATTTTAAATAATTATGTGTCTGGGATTAAAGGCTGAAGTCAATATTATTTCTATTCTGCTTTTAATATAAACATTTACATCACACACAAAACCCCTCTCTTTTCACTGGAGCCACGTAGCCTGGAATAATTTTTTATAATCATATGGAAACTGCATTCAGTGGTTCCTGTGTCTCATATGCTACAGTTTTACCGGTGAAGGTAAATACAGTGTCTACATTTGGGAATGTTTGTGAGCATGGTGGAAAAGGTCGTGTCTGGCTAGGCCAGGTCCCCAGCAGACAAGTTCTTCAAAACCCTCACATGCGTCATTCTGCGCTCTTGATCCATGTAAAGCTTGACGAGACAATGACTAAGACTCCATCGTACACCTCTGCAGTTTTTCCACCATTCATGTAATTCTCAAGCTTTCTTGATAGTAAGTTTCAAATAGATTTATTAATTAGGGTAATGCTACCCACCATCACACCTCTTAAAACTTCAGTGTCTTCACGTGACAGAAGTTTAGTTTTTCTTTTATTTTCTTTTGATATGACAGGTAAACGAGGCTATTTCTTGGATGATCTTTCGCAAGATGATTCTGGAAACTAATTTATTTTTCTCTTATGGCTATACCATCAGAATATTTTGCTTCCATCCCACGGGTGGTGAATGAATGAGGAAGCAGTCACACCACGTCTTAGCCATCTGGGCTCTCAGGGGACAGAGGCTCCTTCCGTTCTGGTGTGACAGGCAACAGCCAGTTGTGTGATCTCACAATGGTGTGAGGGCCGGCGGGCACTTCCCTGCTGTGAGCCCGCCCCATGGGAGCGGGACACACCTGTGTCCATGCCTACATGTGGCTGTCTCTGACCACATATGAATATTAGCGAGTGCAGATGATATATTAAAAATCACAATGTGAATACAGAAATAAATAGGAAGGAAACTTTAACACTAGATGGGCCCCAATATTAAAAATGTTCCATTTTAAAGAAATCTCAAGAAAATAAGAGAAAGGAGTAATCTGGGAAACAAAAGAATATTCAGACTGAAATATAGCAGCGTAAGACTCTCAATTCCCTAATTATTTATCTACGTTAGTCAGCTTCAAGAAAAAAATGCTTTCAACAAAGTTTAAAAATTAATATGCTGCAGCCCTTAATGTCCATTACCCAGAAATACTATTGTCTCTCTGCCAACCCTTGGCTGGCAGGAGGTTCCACTGTAATTTACCCAAAATGTTGGATTCTTTAATGAAAACTCAGTAACAGAAAGTTTGAGTTTAATATTTAAAATGTCACATTAAAATAAGATGAATTAATTAAATGAATTCAGAGCAATAATCATTCCAATTGACAATTGGAAGTCACTGTATTGAGAATAATATTAAATTTTCTAAAATTCCAAGAATTATGATTATCTAGAAAGTATTTAGAATGAGAAATACTCATTTAATGAAGGGATTACCTGAACTAGAAACAAAAAAAAGACTAATCGGGTTCATCATAGCATTTGTCCCTCAAATATTAACTACTTTACAAATAATAGATTTAAATATTATAACAGTGAGAGTAAATAAATTATGCCTAATTTATTACAGCATGAAGATCCAATACTTCTTCTTCATTGTTGAGGCTCTTTTATTAAATCTCCTTATCTTGTGCTAAAACTATCCTCATCTAAAAATATTTCTGCAGCTCCAAAGAATGTTATTGGTACAGTCACATTATTTTATTAAATAATTCGCCACTATTTTTATCATGATTCACCACGTTACAACTTAGAGACAACAGCTCATATCAATCACACCAGTACCCGCACAGCCCTCCATCATCAAAGACTCACACACCTGCATTCATTCTTGACACTGAAAAGGGACAATGTGACTTTTTCTTTATCAACTTTAAATCAAGAATAAACCATAATAATTGAAAACTTGAAATTACTTAATATCTAAACAGTATCCTTTATTGGTAAGAATGTGATAAAACAGGCACCAGCATACCTTGTTTACAGTGGAGAAATTGGTACACTCTCCTTGGAGGGTGTCTGGCTATATCGATAAATATCTAAACGCATTTTCACCTTAATGTAGCAATTCAACTGCTAGGAATTTATGGCAAAAATATACACACTCATGGTATGTAAAGATTCATGACAAAGAGTGCTAGATGTAGCACTATAATAAGAAAAACTCTAGTGTCCATCAATAAAGTATTGGTTAAATAAATTATGTAATAGTTATGTCATGGATTTATTTATGGTCATTTAAAAGAATGAGATAAAAGGTACATGCTGAACTGTAAATGTGTGAAATATTAATATATAAGTTAAAACAAAGTACAGTGAAGTGCATAAAAGATACCCATTTGGAGAAAATTGTGTGAATATGTGTGTGCAGATAATTTCTTAAAAGTGTGGGAGTATAACTGAGTGGTCCAGGGAGAGAGAGAAATGCAAAATCTTTTCTATCGTATGGGACACATGCCTCCTCGCTACCTCTCACTCCCCAACACGAACTGGCCCGCTGCCCCTTCTGTCCCTCCTGAGCTGCCAGATCACATCCCTGCTGCCACCTAAAGTAGCCGCAAGTTCCATCTCAGTGACCACGACAGGAGGCAACTGATGTTCTCATATACTGTGTCAGCTGCAGCCCAACAACTCAAACCGCGGCCTGTCAACGCACGGATAATTATGACATCGCTAGATTTAAGCGTGCGTCTGATGCACTGTGAGCCCAGAGACACGGGAGTGTTTCATCGCACCTTGGGGTGGGAGATCTGGGAGGGAAAGTTGAGTGGAGGTTTCTCAATAATTAATGTTTATTGAGTGCTTACATTGTGAAAAGTGCTTTGCGCAGGTTATGTCTTTCAGTTCTCACAAAAACAGAGCTAGAGAGAGAGCATAATTATCACCTTTATCTTGTAAATAAGAAGTCTAGGACAGGTTAATTTGCTCAAAGTCATTCTGGAGAGTCTGGAGGTGGAGCCAGACTTTAAAACTGGTCCGTCTGGCTTCCGATTCCGTCCCTCGTAATTTGGGGTGCTAAAGCCTCCCAGGATTCTAAAAGCCTCCTCAGAAATGGAGAGTTTGCCAGAAGAACAGAAGAAAAAACGGGCAGAACATTTCACAGGGAAAAACACAGACATAACCCACGTCCATTATATCTGGTAATTATAAAACGTGTATGCCTAGAAAAAAAGGCCTGCCACGGATGAGGTGCTGTTCTAATTGTTGCTGCACGTTAGTGCACTAATATTTAAAACAGCATCACAGAAGGTGTCGTTTCATAATGCCTAGTGTGCAGTGGGAAACTCTGAAGCACAGAGAGTTTCAGTAAGCTGTCCCGGGTCACACAGCGGAGGGCAGTGGGGCTGGCCCGCACGGTCAGGCAGCCCGGCTCCAGCCCCCCTGCTCCGACACACATTCAGAGCTCTCTGCAGGCCGAGTTTCCTGCTGGGACGAGGCTGCAACGTGCCAACATGCAACGCGCCAAGGGGGGCAGCTGCAGAGGGAGCGGCAAAGCCACCTGCCCCGGTTAGGAAAGGCCACACGGAAGATTTGGGGCTTTAGTCGACAGGCCCCGATTCTCAGCGGGAGAGGAAATGCCACGTCCCAGCTATGACTCGGTGTGCTCTGTACTTCAAAATAAAGTCAGTGCTGTGACTTATTTTCATATTTGGGAAACGTGCTTTTTTGTTTGTTGCGGCAACGCGTAACATCTAACCCGAAGCTGGACCAGGCCATAGCCTGATCAGGCGGTGTGATCTAATTAATTCAGTTCCTGCCCATGGGCAAGTCTCCGTTGGCGGGGGGATTGTATCCCCCCGAGGGTGATAACAGGGTAACAGGAGAACCCAAGAACTGTAGGTTCAGCAAAAAAGAATGTGGGTTAAAATATGGTGAGAAACTATCGACTATGTAATAGATCTTCAGATATTTTTTTAAAGGAATGTAGAGTTGTTTAAGATGAGATGAATTAATAATTCTACAATGCTTAGAAGACCATGCCACTGACATAACACGCATTATCGGCGAGATACAACGGCAGCACAACGTAGTAAAGGCACGTACCTAGACCAGCCATGGCCGGGTTCAACGTCCCAGCGCCAATGCGACAAATGAAGTGAATTCTCTGTGTCTCAGCACCCGTCATCGGTTCAGTCAGGGCAATTGTCACCCACCCGACCTCCTACCGTAGCTGTGAGATTGGGTGAACCACGTGCCCACACGCGTGAGTGTATGTGTATGTGAGCACAGTTCCGGGCATAAAGGAAACGCTATGGAGTTATTATCCGCATTTTAAGAAGAGGAAGCAAACGATGTTACACTATCTCACTATCCAAAGTACTACGACCATTCTTAATGTAATTAATTTTAAAAGCGTTGCAAAACCTCATTATCCTAACTAAAAGAATGTATGGCTAGTTAAGTACTCATATAGATATAGAAACATCTATTCATAAACATAATTAAAATTTATAATTATAAAAAACAGCTGTATTTATTTTAAAAGGACATCATTTCAAATCTTAAATCTCTCGCTATCATCTTCCTATCTAACTAATCTCAAGCTGAACACCTAGAATGTCTGAGCTTCAGTTTCTACTTCTGTAAATTGGGCTTAATAACCCTTAGCATAAAGCAGTAGGGTTGCTGTAAAAGCGAAATCAATTTAAGAAACTTATTAAACAGCTTTGCATGTATTAAGTGTGGAATGGATACTGGACACTGTCAACACATTTATATTCCATAGAAGTTAAATCTTTCATAAGTATAGAAGCATTATATTAAAATAGTTACGATAAGTTCAGTTCAATTAAGCAAAGATTTTTGGGGACTCCACCATAACTTAAGCCTTGGGACTGCATCTCCCCATCTTAAATATTTCGATATCAGAACAACGAAAATGCAAATACCATAGTCAAGCAATTAATAACCATATAAACAAACTTAGATGTTTTCAAAATATAGTCATTATAAAACCATGAATCTCAAGAGTGCATAATTAAAATAGAGGAGTTTAGGGAACAGCTTTCTTTTGATACGGATTTTTGGTAAGTAGCATTTAACTTAGGTTCGTCACTTTCTAGGTAAAGCCTTCTGAGGGGGCCAAAACCACTTCCTTTTTTATTCTTTCATCCTTCGGTGAAAAGAAGCAGGAACTACCAAGGCTGGTGCTGTCCTGCACAACTTTCTCCCCCGCCCTGTCTTACTGCCCAGCCTCTCCCTTCTCACACGGCGGCGGCGCTGGCCGGGTGGAGGGGGCAGATCTGGAAACAGTGGTAACCACCTGCAGCTTCGAGGGACACGGAAAACACTAGGCTTCTTGCTCACTACCCGCAGAAACAATGAAGCAGAACCCCTCAGCTGTGGGCATCTGTGGGTCTTCTTCCCAGCGTAACAAGATAAAAAGTGGATCCTACTCAAAGCTCATCACATATTCTGTATTAAACCATCTGAATAATTTGTCAAGTTACCATATTGGAAAAGTGTGCTGCAGTTCCAGTTCTTTCTATTGTTCATACAACTATTTGGGCATGATGATGGTAACAGAGTTAGCAGGAGAACACAGGATCATGCTGGTTTGAGGCCAGCTCTTCACAGAAAAAAAAAGCCACGAGGAGACAATGTCCAATGCATGACTTTGACGGATACATATCTGGACGGGACACCATCCTCTGCAATTGCCCTCGCAGTCATAGTTTTATAGCTAGTCTAGAACCCATGAGGAGCCGCCTAGCCATGCTATTTCTCTGATTTCAGAAAATTATTGTCATTTCAAAGCACTGAGGAACGAGACATTTACGAATCACTTCAATTATCTACAAATCCAAGCCAAGGGCCTACAAGTTTCTTAAACCGATTATTACCGACCACCACTCACTGCATATTTATGTCCTCCTTTCCTTTGTATCCTGTAACTCCTGTATTCATTCATTCTTCCAATACATTTAGAAATATTTGTTGATTGACTTTCTATACCCTTCCGAATTCACTTTCAACAAATATGCAGCAGGCACACAGAAAAAACAAGGTGTAGACCTAGCTTACCTAGAGCAAGCATTTCAACTGGTCAAACTCTTTCTCAAAATTTTCCTCCCTAAATGTTCTGCAAATAGCAGTTTTACTGAACTCAAATGCCACGATCTGAGTAGAAAGCAGTGGCTAAGACACAGACCCACCTTCGTGGACTTTCAGTCCACTGAAGGAGATTACAGTGGACACGCTATTACAACGGCGAGATGGGAAGTTCAAGGTCCCAAGGTGGTGGAGAAATGGGTGTGACATCTACTTTGGGCAGAGGAACTTGAAAAGGCCTTTCTGATAAACAGAATTCCCCCTGAAGAAACAAACAGCAGGTTCTATTTCCTTTCTCACTGATGAGCTCAAGGAAGAAAAAATAAGTTGTCCCTTTAAACAGGAGAAATATAGCAATTTCTAATCCAAATTATGTATTGATAAATGGACAAAACTGACTAATTAAACCCTCTTTCTCTGCTTTCTCTACCCACCCCCCCAAACACACACACAATCCTCTCAACTCTAAGATCTACATAGTTTATGGTTTATACGGGCTGTCTTCGCTGATCAGGCTGCTCAGCAAAGCTCTTTCCCTAAGTGTCGTGTAAACTTCACTATGTACTGACACGCCCAAGACAGCTCGAGCATATCAAATATTGACCTTAAAATCAGTTCGTTGCAAACTAGTTATTTATTTATTGAGTATAGTGTGGATTGGTGCATGTTTTTCAATAGGCTCTTTCAGAAATAGGACAGCACTAAATACTATTTACACAAAACACTGGAGTCCACCCACTGCCCACCCACCTGTGCCAAAGAATATCAGTGTTCTCTGGGCCAGAAGCTTCAGCTGTATATATTAAAGATGTCTGGTTATTGGCTTTTGATCGTTTTCATCATGGTAAGGAAGGTTTTTGTTGGTTTTTTTTCCTGTTGTTTAAGTCTTTGTTTTATAATGTCAGAGAAACAGTGAGACAGCAAAGCTGTAAAAACCATAAACTTTGGGGTAAGTAAAGATACAGATGGGAACTAACGCTCCAAAAATTCCTAGCTTTGTGATCCTAAGTTAGTTAGTTCAGCTTCTCCCAGCTTCGGTCTCCAGCAAGTGTCAAAACAAGTGTGTCTCGACAGTAACTGTGAGGTCTCCAGTTGTTCTCTGACTTGGGTTCAGGGGGCCTGGGATGAAATAGCAGATGAACCTGTTCCAAGGTGTTAAATGTGTGTTGACGGGAATCTTCCCCAGGGACCCTGGAACGTGGTATACAACAGGTTTTGCTTTCACAGGAAAAGAATTGGCATAATCTCTGCAATTTAGGTGAGAGATCACACGTGAATTCCTTTCAACACCATGCTCTGATTGACTTTCCAAGTGAAAATGTTCACTCCCCACACTTACACACATTCACATACTAATAATCCTAAAATAGAATGATTAATTAACAGGTATTCCAAGAAATTTAAAATCCTGAAGAAATAAACAGAAAAGTAAGTTTCTGGCCCCAAATTTTGTTATCCCTTTATAGAATTAACATCACAGTCATGATTGACTGGGGCTACGCTACCAATTGACTTTATAAAATGACATCATTTTTGGTACATTGACTTTATAAAATAATGATTTCCAAGAGATCTTTCATGCTACGTATCTCTGAACTGCTCTTTTCTTTCCCTCTCACACTTCCACAAGGACGCTACTTATATGCCAGGATTCCTGGTCCTAACTGAACACATTCCCAAACCCTCTACTTTTGTTGCATCAACCTGCCTTGGAACTTGAAATCCACAGCTGTAGGTTTAGCGTTACGGAATAAATGCTTCCGCTGTCCATTCAGTATGGAAAAGAGGGTGTTACGTACATGTGCTTTTACATTAACACGGAACATCAATGTAACTTTGATATTTGCTGTTTTCTAGAAATGCTACTTACGTTCTCATTCTCCGACATTCTTATTCTCTGATTGTTGGTGTATTTGAATAACAGAATTTATATGCAATTACACTAAAGACAAAAATCCAATTATTCTCTGAGAATACCCAAATAGCAAAATTTCCTTGCTCATTTGATTTAAAAGCAATACAGGAATTAGCTCCACTGTCATCGAAAAGAGTGCTCTCTCAAAGAAAATAACCTTAAAAAGTCATGAAAGAATGAATATACTTATTTGCTTCGCTTTGGGTTGTGTCGTGTTCTGATCCTTAAGACTCAGCACCAAACCACACAGGCTATTTCCAAACCACTGATCCTTCTGGAAACGCAGCCCGCCTTACAGAAAGCAGTGCTGCTTGCTGTACAAGGTGTCTGGATTCCTTCCCTCCTCTCTGGGAATGCCGGGTCAGCCTCCAGGAAGGAATGCAAGGACTGCCGGCACCAGGGCTTCCGAAAGAAGGTGTCCAGATGTACTGCAGTCCCAGATCTCTATTTTGGGACTTTTAATCTCTCTTTATAAACATCAACCAATTCATTTTTCCCCTTAAACTTTGTTTCTAACTCTCCCCTGAGGGAAACAGAGATGTCTGAGTATCCACAAACAAAAATAGGGAGAGGGCATCCACGCTGTAACTGTTTCTCAAACTTGAAAAGGCACAAATACCAAGATATTACATTTTAATCTTACCTTTACAAGATCTGCTTTATTTAATCACATATGCCTAGAATTCTACTATCAGTAATCCTGACTGATGACGACGTTTAACCCAAGTGGACCATAATTGTATCAGCCAAGCTTCTGAAACTGTTTCAATAAAGCTCTGCATAAAAGATTAGCGGGCACTGCCAAATATTTATGCTCGGCAGTTACTCCTGGTAAGCAGCACTGCTCAATCAGTGGAATTCAATTTAACCATGTTTACCTGTGCGTAAGCCTCCGGTGACTAACGCAGACTGCGGTCTGAGGGTCTTGAGCAATGCACACTTTATGGCGGCTACATTTCATCTTTAAGCACGGGTCTTTAGCTGGATCTAAAGCTAAAAAAAAAAAAAGTTGTACAGAAAATATTACAATAAGTTCTGTAAAATGGATGCATCTAATCCCATCAGACACAATCTGAGCAAGCCATTTACATAGCATTTAGCCATAACGTTTTTTACATTCTTCCTCTACTGAGAGATTCATAACTCGGAGTTAACAAACAGTTGCAGTTTAGCGTCACCCACTCCACTCAGAGGCTGATGTGCACGGACCTCCAAGAGCAGACAACGTGTAATCAAAACAGAAACTTACGGCCAAAACTGTCTATAGCTGCTACTGCTGTCTAAGAAGTAAAGGTGAGAAATGAAGTTGGGTGTGTTACTGCAATATTTTATAACAGTAGAGAACTATAATCCATACTTCTGTTTTCCCCAGAGACAGGCTGGTGGGTAGAGAAACAGCATGATGTCGGCGGACACTCATGAGTCTTTGGATCGTCAAGAAAAGTCTGGAGCTGTACTTGGGGGGGCTGGCTGAGTGCATCATAGCGAGAACTGAGATGCTGCAGTTCCAGGTTTAGATTGTGCATCACATTTGGACGATTATGTCTTCAGACAGACCTCTGTCTTGGTGGCTGCCAGCACAAAGACTAGGTGATACGTTGACAGGTCTTATAATAAGAGCTTATTGATACGTAATTCACAAACTATGCAATGCACACATTTAAAGTTTGCAATCAATGGTTTTTAGTGTATTTACAATTGCAAGATTATCACCACAATTTTAGAATATTTTCCTCACCATAAAAACACAAACATACCCTCTAGTTGCCACCCCTAGGATTTCTCCCCCACACCACCTAGTACTGGGCAACCACTCATCTAATTTCTGCTTCTAGACACTTGCCTGGATGTTTCATATGAACTGAATAAATAAAATATGTGGAATTTTATGACTGGCTTATTTCCCTTGGCACAATGTTTCTGAGGTTCATCCATGTTGCAGCCCGATTGGCTACTTCATTCCTTTGTATTTGCAGGATAATATTCTTCCATTTCATGGATACATCACATTTTATTGATCTATTCACTGGCAGACAGGCATTCTGGTTGTTGCCTTTTGGTGACTATGGATAATGCTGTTATTGGTGTCATCATTGGTCATGGTCTGTGATATTCTGTTGGGATTTATTGACGGGGAAGGCCAGAGGGGGAGTTGACACAGACAAGGAAAAGGCCCTGAGTGTCCAGTTTGGGTTCCTGGCAAAATCAAGAGAAGGGAATGACGGAATATGGCAGACTGAACAGAATGCAGTGCATGAATAAAGATGGAGCCAGAAGAACGTGCGTTTGGAATACGCAGAGTATTTCGAAGGCCATGGTCTACTAGGCATAGAATGTGAACTTGACCTAATATTTTTTGGATCTTAAACCCATGAAAAACTCAAGCTTGTTTATAAATCAAATTTAGCTTTACGAATGTGGTGATTTTAAGTATATTTAGTCACTAGCCTAAATAAGGTGAATATGTCTTGAAAATCAATGAATTATTAAAATATGTATGCAAACTATAAATATGCACATATATAAGCACATGCTATTGTTCTAAAAATACAAAGTATATTTCCACAAAACTCTTGAGATTTAAAATAAGCATAATATTTAAAATAAAGAATGATACTACATATAGTTGATGAAATATTAATAGACATATTATTCCATAATAAAATTATCAAGACATTAAATGCATCTATTTAGAACACAAATGTTTCAGATTTTTTCATACTAAAAATTGTTTTCAATAATTATTAGATTAATTATAGCTTAATGTAATGAAACATAGCTTTAAAATTAAAATAAGGTATATTATTTTCTATAAAATGTTGAATATGCTTTGTTCACTATGAAAATTAAAATTACTATAACATTCTCATTATACTATCACAGTTTAAAGCATCATTAATAAAAAAATTCTCTCTTCAAACCACTGTACTTGAAAACTATGACCTCTTGTTATACAACATAATAGAAAAATACACAATAACATAGATGGTATTAAAAATGATTTGAGCCATTTATAATTCTTAGACTATTTTTGATTTCTAATTATTAAAATCATTTTTAAAAATTTATTAAAGTTAAAATATTGTGCCTAATAATAAAACAATGTCATTGCTACCTAACTCTGTACTATATATACATATATGCCATACACTCATTTTTAACCTATTTAATCTGGGACATACTATTCTACAAAAGGAGTGATTTAATTTTGAAATAAAACACTATCGTACAGATAAAAGTATCATGGTTAATGTAATCTAATTACAACTTAAATGCAGACTGTTAATATTTTAGCTATTTCTTCTTTACCTAATACAATCTACATTTTCAAAAGCTGCAGGACACCTCTTACGTTGTGTCTCTTTAAGAAGAGCAATCCGAACCACAAACTGTTGAACAGTGAGAGGGGGATTATCAGAACACATTTAACACATGAAAACAATACCATGAGAACACTCTGCATACGATTCTACATGAATGATCAAATAAAGGGGTAGCGCTGTTGACCAAGAGGTAGAAGATACAACCGGGGAAAGTGAACATAAAGAATCAGAGACAGAATCCACAGGAACAAAAAGAGCCACTTTCTGTGCATGGGATTTCAACCATTTGTATTTTTTCGTAAAACTCTCATTGCTGGCAGCTTAAAAACTGCGAAACATCACATGCTGTAAATACAGATGCCTGAGATTTTACTCTTGAAACCATAACAATAACACAACCAAACTCCTCTTGGCTGAAGCCCATGGATAAGAATCAGTCCTGTGCCTGAAAGAGTCGGGCGTAAGCTCAGCCTCCCCTCTGCTGCCGTCTCCTCTGCCCCTGGCTTCCAGCCTCCCCTTCTCTTCTGCATGAGCGTTCTGACCTCTCTGACCTTTCTCTCGAGCAACCAGTGACGCCACATCCAGAAAGATCTCAGCTAGCACAGGTGAGTTTAGTGGGCCATGCTCCCTTCTGCACTCTAATCTCTTTCTGATTGATGCAAACTCACCTGGGGACCTAACAAATAAGTGTTCCGTTCTGTTTTGTTTCAGAAAACGTAGTCCATATTTTAAACAACTGCTGTATAATTTAACCTTTGGGCTTCGCTGCATTTGTGATGTGGACTTTCCCTCACTCTTTTGCCAGAACCCTTGTTTTTCAGTCCAGAATTCCCCCAGTTACTGCCGGACTGGGATAAGCTAGGAAGGATCAGGCCGATCCAGCCACTAACGGTGGGAACACCTGCTCCGGCAAGGGCGGGCGGGAGCAGAAGACAAACGTGGGTGACCACGGGCATAAGGGAGCTCTAGTTCGTGAGAAGTCCCGACGGGAACGGAAGGGCAAGGAGGTGCAATGCAGGCGGCAGGTCAGGAAAGCAAGCCTGGGCGATAATTCCATTCGGGAGCAGAAGACCCGGCATTAGCACCCCAGCCAGTGCGGGAGCCTTACGGAAGGGAAAGGCCAAGGATGACCTGGCTGAGGTGCAAACATGGGCGCTAACGTTGGTATTGAGAACGGAAATGAACTTTAACAAGGTGGGCTGAAACTCCTAATCTGTGCAAGCTCATCTCCAGATTTTAGCAGTGTCTGTCCAAAAGAAGCCTGGATTTCAAAAAAGTAAATCTTAGCAATTCGAGGCCAAATTGCTCTTAAATCATGTCGAACATAATGTGTGATGCTGTTAAGCATGAACAAGTCACCTTAGCTCAGCCAATGCCAGATAAAGGGTTTCTCAGGTATTTGACAAATATAATGGAAACTTAACTCTAGTAATATTCATTTAGACTTCTGAAAGACCAGTGTAGTACAAGCTAATAATCTCTAATATGTTAGGGTCATCTATAAAATAAAGAATTCGGGCTACATGATCTCCAAAACCACCTTCTGTTCTAAAAGTGGATTACTGCCTTTTTTTTTTTTTTTTTTTTGAGACAGTCTCATGGTGTTGCCCAGGCTAGAGTGCTGTGGTATCAGCCTTGCTCATAGCAACCTCAAACTCCTGGGCTCAAGCAATCCTCCTGCCTCAGCCTCCTGAGTAGCTGGGACTACAGGCATGCACCACCAAGCCCGGCTATTTTTTTCTATTTTTAGTTGTTTTGGCTAATTTCTTTCTATTTTTTGTAGAGGCGGGATCTCGCTCTTGCTCAGAGGGCTGGTCTCGAATTCCTGAGCTCAAACATTCGCCTGCCTTGGCCTCCCAGAGTGCTAGGATTACAGGTGTGAGCCACCGCGCCCGGCCTGGATTACTGCATTTTAATGTAGAGTTTGGTACCAGATATCCTGCATGGAATGAGCTCTGTCTGCAACAGATGTGGCATTTTTATCATAAAGAATTGTAAAAATAGTTAGTTGGAATACATTGAGTGGAAAGTTTACATATACACACATATATTATGTAAATACACACGCACGTGCATACATGCAGAGGGACAAAGGGATCTCAGGCTGGTGGAGGGGAGATGCCAGAATGAGTGAAGATTTTGAAAGATAAATAGGAGCCTTCAGGTGCATGAAATAAAAGGAAACTCCAGTAGAAGCGGACAGAACGAATAGCAAGAAAGTACACAAAGGATGCCCGTTCATGGAACGGCAAACTGTTGGGGCCAGTGAGACCCAAGCGCTCGTGCTGCCTGCGGGTGTCGGGGGGAGACGCTGAGCAGGCGGGGGCTTCTCGCCGGTGGCAGTTCTGTCTCACAGGCAGCACCGCGCCGTCCTGTGGCTTTAGGTAGAGAGTGGCACGAGCGGGTGCTTACTGTAGGAAGACCACACGCAAGAGCTTGGAGATGATCTGTGATCTGCAGTGTGCGTGATTAAGACGGGAAAACCAGCGAAATGTTTGCTAGATAAAAGAGTAGGGATTTCGTCTGAGGGAACTGGGCGTTAAGATGGAGAGAAAGGGACACATCTTAAAGACATAAAGGGCACGTATTCAATAGGGCCCAATTATTGATTGGGTATGAGGAGAAAGTTTTTCAGAAATAAAACAAATGGTTATTGGTGGCACCATCAAACAAGTGACAAGATATACTGGTGGCAAGGAAAAAGAAAATACAGCACATTTACTTGTGTGCACATTTATGAAACGCCTGTGGTGACGTCTTGGTGGTGACACTCAGCAGTCACCTGGGCATTTGGATCTGGCATTCCAAGGAGAGGGTGGGGGGAAGATGTTCCTTCAGTGGTCACCTTAAAGAATGTAAATTATTAAAGACATTAATAGTCTTGCAATCTGGTTAGATTTTTAAGATGCTTAGTTTGATGGCATATTTTAAATAAGGTTAATACAAATTGTGAAGGGTGAGACGACATGTAATGAAGATAGATTTTAAAAATATAAATGTATTTACTTTTTGAGCTTGAGAAGTAGCAGCAGTCTATTAGTATTATAATAGCGACATTGTTTTGTATCTAAAAATGACATCTTTCTATACAAATTTGAAGCTTTATCAACATTTTAAAAGTACCTGATTTTTATAAATGTAGTAGATCATAAACAATTTTAGGAAGATTGATATTCTACTATAATGTTTTATATGTAACTCCCGGAGCATTTTAATCTTATTATAATACAAATATATACTTCCATAATACTTAATTTCCAAATATAAGATGATTAAGTAGTATTAGAACATTTACAGTTCCTCTTAGCAATATTCAAAAATATATTTTTAGAGGTAATGTTAGCATGAAGCCATAAAAATTGTACCATAAAAGTGTAGGATAGAGTATTTGAATAAGCAAATTTTACATATTTAGGGATTATATAATGATGTTGTTATACAATATTAACTTTTTAAGCACGTTCACCCCCTAAAATGAATTATTAATTTAGATAAATTGTTACATTTATCTCTTTTACCCAGTAAATTTTGGTTATGTGCTGACCACTCTTGTAAAATGTCTTCTGTTCCTTTTTTCCTTTGTAAAATTAATACCATTCATATCATATCTACCTGAGAATACAAAATATGAATACATAGCCAACAACAACAATGAATCTTTAATTGTTGGCTTTCTAATAAACAAGTACATGGAAAAAAACTATAGCTTCCAGTGAATTCAGTCTCTCTGGAGCACCATCAATCTCCTAAATACTAATGATAGTCCTCCCTACATTTACCCACCAAGAAGTCCAGAGTCAAGTGCGAGGCCTACCGTTAATAACTGCACAGGCAGTGTGACACCCATTCCATGTAATGGCACGCTCACTGTTTCATGTGTGTGCTTTATTTCTTCTTCCCCATCATTTCCTCGTTTTAATCTTTGTTGATATATATTTTAAATAAAAATCTTTTTATACTCTCCATTCATTGTTTAAAAATCTAGTTTATTTCATATTTCAGTGAGTGGCATTCAAGGTTGGGATGAATAGCTAAGGAACAGAAAAAAATAATTAGGCAACTGCTATTCAAATTAATCCGACCAATAATTATTTGGGGCTGTCCTTTAGTAATTAAAGATAAAAATCTAAAAGAAAATAATGAATGTATGTAACCAAGAATATCAGTGTATAGAGGAAGCTGTTATATAATTTATTTAGAGTGAAGTTGCCAACTTTTAAAAATTATTGGGATTATACATGCAAATGTGTAACTTTCCTCACACAAGCTGAAAATGTGTTTTATATATATATATATAATTCAGTTTGCCTTTATTTTCTGGATATTACAATATTTTATCATCAAAGTTTTGTATTGTGGCACATACATCTGCCACTATTACAGGAAACATATAAGCAAATATTCCCTTCTCTTGAATTTCAGTTGGCAACATAAAGCATATTTAGGTGATGAGAGAGCTCTTTAGTGCCTTGGGGGAAAAAAATCAAGAAAACAAATAATCAGTTAGACATTTTTTTGTGATGTAAGATCAGGTGAAATTGAGAGTTGTATTGCAATTCTGGAAGAATTTTGGAAAAATCACATCACTGAATAGTGAAATCAAAACACATACTCACCATTCATTTGCTAAAATGTTTCTTTAAGCTTAATTGTGGGTCATCACATAAAATGAAGTGACAAGTAATTACAATATGATTTTTTTAAATTTTCTTAACAGTTTCACAATGAACTGTTAAAGTGTTTTTGTTGTTCTCACAACAGGTCATGCCACCATAACTCTATGCTATAAAGCTTCAGGAAGAAGTGGTTTTCTAGGGAATTTTTAAAACTTGCCAGGTGTTATAATGAAAGGCTTTGAAAGTGAGCAGCATAGAAAATAAAGGTAATGTCTGATAGTTAATTAGTCTTTTGACAGCCCATTTTGTGGTGCTAAATGTAATTAAATGCAGCAAGTCTTTGGAGTGACCTTCTTACCTTCAAACCTCATTCTCATTTTAGTTATGCAAAATCTATCCACTCTGACTCTGGTCTCCCCATTGTAAACATTAAATGTGAGGTCTACCTATTAGCAGATGCAGATGCAATTGCTGGATTAATTTATTTTGAAATAACAGGTATCAAAATACCATAGTTTTTTTATTTCAATAATATCTTATTTTATAAATGTTTATTAAATGCAATTGACCACTACTACATTGACAAATCAAAGCTAAATGAAAAGGCTGAATTTTATTCTACTGCTGTTCTACTCCCAGTTAAATTATTGATGAAGATTGTAAAATACCATTCTCATTAGTTCTCTATCACTCTTTTTCTTTTTCAATACATCATATCGTCTTCTAAATTTCTTATAGTGGTAAATACTAACAGCATTTCCTTTATAAAATGGAAAATTGATCACTATATGTACAAAATCCCACTATTTTCACTGGTTTCCCTTTCTAATCTATTATTTGATATATAAAGATGATAATACTGAATCCCCACCATAACAATTTATATTTGGGATTTTCTTTCCAGTACTGAACTGAATATACCTTTGATTTGGTTCAAAACAAAATTTTGCCTCAAATAGAATCACAAGAAAAGCCCAGTAAGAGGGCAATTCTGGCTTTGGCTTGATAAAGCACCCTGTATAGTCCCTTGACGATGTCCCCTAACTATTCTATGCCTTGATGTTTTCATTCACAAATTGAAGAAATTCAGGTATTAATTCTGAAATATAAAATAACATGTTCTATTATTTTGTGATTTATTAACAACTGACCTAGGAGGTAGTACACACAGAAAAATAAGAAATCTGCTTAAAAATTCACACTGCGTTGAGCAGATGTGTATGCCATTTTGCATGAGCGTGTGCTAGGTGCCTAGATTATTTCCAGGCACACAGAAAGCACTGTATCTGGCCATTATGATTTGCATTTTTGTTGACAACTATGAATCCCCTATGAACTCTCTTGCAACATGCCCTGTAGCTCTGCCAACCACCTGTGGAAAACCTCTGGCGCGCGGTGAGTAGCTGCCATTCTCAGCCCTCTACGTGCACACAGGATTTCCTGCATGCAATGAACTCCTGTGACTCCAAATTCACCACTTCCCTAAATAAAACATATTTCTTGTTTTTGCTTTTGTTTTTGCCTATTTAAAAGTAAAAATAACAATTTTCACACAAACTCTTTTTAATAAGAACTATGAAGTCAATCCTTAAAAGGCCAAAACAAAGCTTCTAAGCACAGATATGTTTCCTCCAAAAACTGTGTCAAACACTGCGATCATTACATAGTTTAAACACACACATGCATGCACACACACACGCACACACACAGACAATGGTCAGGTGGGGCGGGCTGACAGCCAGGAAGGGGCTGCTGACAGCAGTGTTCGTTATCTTGATGTCAATGCAGTGTCTGCATTCACAAAAATGTATCAAAGTATATTTAAAACCATTGCACTTTATTTTATGTAAATTATACCTCAATAAAAAGGCAAATTCCTATTTTTTTTCCTGACATTTTTTTCTTTGGAAAAAAATCTTTTGAAATATGAGAACACCAAGAGCCTTCTCCATCCACTGTGTCAGGGCAGCAGAGCACGTGAGCAAAAACAGAACATGACAGATCCCACCATTGAAATTTAGACACTAAAAATCAGTTCCTCCCCACCAACGGCACATGCTCTTTTAGAGGGTAAATACCACACACTGAAGATAGATAAAATTAACCAAGAAAAAAAAGTAATGACAGGAAAGAAAGTACAGAACTGGATCTCACTTTCCCCAAACCGCATTCGAACGCTGTTGGTGATGTCTACGAAGACTTGGCTTTAACTGCTGGAATCTGAATATCCTCACACTGGAAGGTCTGACCTATGCCCACACGTTTAAAACTAAGACGCTTTCATAAAACCAATAATAATACTGGCTAAACTAACAAGTTAATAGAATCTAAAACTAAGATTTTTTTTAATATACATGGTAATCTTTGGAATGTATTTTATGCATTGAAACTTTTAAAATGTTTTCCAAATGTTTCTTCTATCAGGGACTGGAGTTGCCTGAACAGAGCTGCAGTTGCAGTAGCAGTGAGCTGCCTCAGCTAGGCGCGGCCACAACCACCCTGGCAGGTGGGTGAGCCCTGTGGGTCTGTCTTCGCCTGCAGCTGGTCATTTCCGATTGATATTATCGCTTACAAAAAGCAATCCTCTGCAAAGTAGTGATCTGGCTGTTGTGAAATGAAGCCTCTACTGACCGCCACCTACTTAGATGTGATTAGATTAAAACCCAGAAGTTTTCCAGATGACTGCCCAAACGGGAGAGTGTTTTCTGACACTCACAGCCGTTTCAGTCGGCTTATACCTTAGACATTCTAATCTGTAATTTACCCAGGTGCAAAGGAAAATTTCTAACCTCTATTTGCTAAAGGACTGCATCTTTAGCAGTGTTCTATCAAATTAATTGTCTGCCATATCTGGCAAACTAATATCCCAAAGTGCTTAATTTAGAAATCTAAAGACATTGGGAATTTTTGTTGACTAAGGTACTTATCCAAATATTCAAAAAGTATCTGTAGTCACTTCCTTAGAGTTGTGAATTGACAATACACTAGGATTTGATTAGGCTTGACTAAATCATTATAGCAGAATCCAATTTTAGAAACCACATGAAAGCCTGTAGAATTATAGGATGTGTCTCCATGATATAAAATATAATGGTATCAACAGAAACAGATGACTAAGATGTTAACTCTACAAGTAGTTTTTTTATATTAATTACTTGAAATTTATTTTTCTGATTCAGCTATTGGAAAATGAATAGAAAGTAATTAGAAAAATACCGTACAACAATAATGAAACTGAAACATGAAATTCTAATGCACTTTAGGATTGATCGCTGATGAAATAAAGTTAAGAGGATACAACATTGCTGTGTATCACTGTTCAACTTTAAAATTTATGCGCACACCACTTGGAAAATGGTAGCTTGCACTGCTCCGTTACCTCTCAGGATACAAAACCCTCACTCTATTGTGCATCATTTTCCTATGAAGGAACTGAGATACGTCACTAGGAGATACAAGGAGGAGGAGCAAGAACATCTGCAGTTCTGATCTTGCAAATTTAATCACTCTGAGAAACGCAGCTTGGGAAAAGTGTTTCCCAGGTTCTAGTTACACCACTGCTGCCCCTACTTACGCTGCTGACAAGCCCAGGAGATCACAGGATTATCCCATGGTGTGGAACAGATCTCTCCTAAGGCTGAGATTGTAGTAGAGAAAAACTATGAAACAAGGAGGAATAAAATAAAAGCTGCCCATTTCTTTCCTGTCTGGGAGTGAATGTTTACACAGTTTAGAGTGTCTCCCTGTTACATCTGTTCTCCAGTGAGGGCCCCGCTGCAGTGCTGGAGTCCTGGAATAGGGTACGGAAGGTTCTTTTCTTCTGCCCCTCCCTTCCCCCAGCGACTGCTGTTTCTGACTTCTACAGCCCTGCGCCTGAAGCGAAAGGACAGGGAAAGGGCACAGACCACCCAGCATCTGTGGCAAATGTCCGCGTGGTGGTGGCTCCTCTGTGGCAGGCTGCTTGGGTTCTCCAGAGAGTCTCCTGCAGAGGATGCCTGGCTGCACCTGCTGGACGTGGCCATTTCTCCCCTTTGTGTGGCCACCCTTGACTCCCACCCGCCTCTGAAAACCTATGGACCCACCATCTATCTCCCAGTTGGAATCCCACCTTTCCTCCAGGGGGTCCGTTCAGTCCTTCTGAAACTTCTCTGCGTCGGTTCCTATCAGCAGAGTACACAGAAAACGCAAGCGTTGGCCCTACTTTGGGGGAAGAGCTGCTCTTTCTCACGGAGCCAACTCAATTCCATCCTGCTACAAACAGAGGCGGCGATTTCCACCGACTCTCGCCACTAAAACATCCAAACCCGAGTGGACACCAGTTCTTGAGTCTCTCAGGATCAAGGGGATACGAGGCTCTCCAGGAGATCACCGGGAAGACATCTGAAAGGACAGGTGGGAGACAGCGGTCTCCCCTTCCCCAAGAGGCAGAGCAAGGTCATGTCCCGCACACCAGCTCTGCGAGGGAGGGAAAGCCTCTCCTCATCAGTCTGGCAACCCCTCCTTTAAAACTCAGGGCTGAGGTTGGCAAAACCGGTTTCACCATCTCTTTACACCTTCTAAGTAGGTGGTCTGGCATTTTGATTTGGGCTTTCAAATCCCTGGTCTACAGCACTCAGTTTATTGGTTTTGCCCTTTGAGGCTTTTCCTGAAAACCCTAAACCACAAGAAGACATTTACTTAACTCCTGTTATATGCTTCAAAATGAAAACCTAAAGTTTTCTGAAAAGTTTCAGCATGGTGGTAAAATGATGTAAACTCATGGTTTCTGTGTTTTTTCCACTTATTTATAGTTATACATAATATAGATATATGTGATTAGTTATATCATTTATCTAGAATGTTAAATGCATAAAATTATATAAAGCATATATTTAAATATATATTTAATATATTACTAGTTTCATATACATTGTGCATTGTTTTCTATTTTAAATTACTTGCATTTAGTTTTTCGCTCTAAATTTTTGAATACAAAGCAATAAATTATGTATGCTTCAATTTTTGTGTCTGTAGACATTAAAGGTATTTATTCACAGAATATTAATATGCATATTTAGGGACTTCTGAGCATCCTCCAAATGTTATTTCTTTCTCTCTGAACATTTAATGTAATCACACTTATAAAAAATTATAACCATGAGACTGAATTCTAATTGGTGCAATGTAAAGAAAAACAATGCGTATCCCAGATGTATCCCATAAATACCCTCCACCATGCGTTCCATGTAGCTGTGATGGTGACCAGGGCTCTGGGAGATCAGACATGGCGGGTGGCGAGGCGGCGTTTGTCCCTGTACAAGTGACTGGGGCACAAGTACCTGGCAGCCCAGAAACACCTCTGGATGCAACACAAGTGGAACTTTAATTGAATTGAGATATTAACCTTGAGATCCTTTGCTACTATGGCCTGTAATAATCTCACAGCACAGAAATTGATATCTTGGCGTGGAGAACCTACATAAAAGAAATCTAAAATGTGTGGCGTTGCCTTGCTGGTCAGGTAGCAGGTAGTATAAAAGTAGACACAGCAGATTGGAAAAACAGAAAGCCATGTCACGTAGTAATAAAATTTTTTGTAAAACAATCATATACCATAACTTTCAATGAAGATGGAATACCTATCTGGCCTATTTGGGAAAATTTGGGAATAGTACTTGTAGGTTTCCAAAAAGAGTAACAAGTTAAATTCAGAGTTTCTCTATTGCCATTGCTATGTGTTGAGCGTGTTCCCTCCAAAATTCAAGTTGAAACTTCATCTCCCCTTTGGTGGAGATGAGGACTTTGGGAAGTTATTAAGTCATGAGGGAAAGGAGCAGGGCCCTATAGCGAATGCTTCTGGGTAGGTTCACATTCTCTCCCTCTTCTGCCCTGTGAGGACACAAGGCTCCTTTGTCCCTTTTGTCCCCAGAGCAAGAAGGCCCTTGCCAGGCTAACACCTTGGTCTTGGACTTCTCAACCTCCACACTGTGAGGTAAACTCTTCTTTATAAATTACCCAGATGCTGATAATTTGTTATAGCAGCACACAGGGACTAAGATAACTATCATATCACAGTTGCCAAGTTTATAAGAATATTAAAAGTAACTTTAAGATACATAGAAGAAACATTATTTTCGTATAAATAATCATGTCCTCACTTCCCATTGCAAAAAAAAAAAAAAAAAAAGTTCACCTCTAATAACCACTAATACAAGCCAAACACCTATCAAAGCAGCATGTACCAAAACTGTTTAGGTAGATTATAAAGAGAAGGGGTGGAGTAAGCTGGGAAGCATCAATTTCTTAGGGCCAGAATAAAAAGGGAGGAAAAGTGAGTTCTAAAACTCTAATTGGAAATATCTCATAATCTGTTAGATTTATTAAAGTAGGTGACTATTCCTGAGAATATAATGGAAGAAGCATTTGTTAAATTGGGTTACCTATTGAAATCAGGTTCATAAAATATTGCTATTCTTTGCCATTCATTAAGTATAGACTGTAAGAATGTTGGACCTTGAAAAGAAATTAATCTTGAAGCAAAATGCTCAGACCTTTCAAAATATAACAGTTTTTGAAATAATAAACCAAATGTTTAATTTTATTAGTACTAACATTTACTATAGCAAAAACAGAAAATAATAACAAAAAATTACTCACTGAATTTCTATTTAAGTCATAGTAAATTTACAAAATAAATTATAGTACATATAGTAAATATGTGAGTAAATAGTAAATACAGTAATAGTAAAAAATAGTAAATACAGGCCGGGCACAGTGGCTCACACCTGTAATCCTAGCACTCTGGGAGGCTGAAGCAGGAGGATCACTTGAGCTCAGAAATTTGAGACTGAGCAAGAGTGAGACTCTGTCTTTACTAAAAATAGAAAAATTAGCTGGGTATCCTGGCCCGTGCCTCTAGTCCCAGCTACTCAGGAGGCTGAGGCAGGAGGATCGCTTGAGCCCAGGAGTTTGAGGTTGCTGTGAGCTAGGCTGACACCACGGCACTCATTCTAGCCCGGGCAACACAGTGAGACTCTGTCTCAAACCCCCCCCCCAAAAAAAGTAAATACAGTAACTTACATAGTAAATTATATATATCTTATAAACTTTATACATTTGGGTGATGTGATAAAGGAAGTCATCCAAATGTCATTCACTGCTGCCACTTCTGGCCAGTCGGCCAGATGGGAGGAAATTGCCAGGCAACACTAATGTGCTAAAACCCGGTGAGCGCCCCACCATGACTCCTCATCACTGTTCTTATCTCCAGATACATCTTTCTGGGCAACTGGCTCTCATTTCTCCACAGTCAGGTTCTCAAAATCGGGTGCCAAAAATTCTTACGCAGCGACTGCAGTAGCTCAGGTAAGGAAGGTGACATACGAATGCTGGGGGTGGGGGTGGGGAGTTCCCATGTCACCACCTCTCCCAGATCAATTCCACAGATCAAGTTGACAAGGCTGGCACCAACTGTAATAATTTGGGGAGCTTCCTAGAATTACAGCCGCTGTCCCAGCAGTTACGGCAGCTGCATGACCCAGGATGAGCCATATCTATAAAAAGACAAGTCAGACAGCCACTGCCAGGTGGCACCGAACGGCAAATCCAAGCCAGGACAACTGTGGATGGCACAATCGAACCCATGGAGCCCCAACGACCAGATACACAGACGTGCCCAGATTGTTCCTTAATCTCACAATAACGAAAAACGGGCACTTTAAGTGTTTAAGTTTTCTGGACCCCACCTATCCTGTAGTGAGAGCTTACCTTTTATAATAAAAAGTAATGCCTGGAGTACCACAATAGCACCCCTATAAAGTAGCATTTCATTTACTCGCCAGAGCACGGAAGGTAAACACTGCAAAAGCCCTGGGACTTGCCACAGTGGGGACGTTTCTAGGAGTTCCATGAGTTCGGAGCTCAGGGGACAACCCCACACCACCCAGGTGTGCTGCTCCTACCCAGGCCTGAGCAGCTCGCAGAACTGTGTGTCCAGGTGGGGCCTGGAGCAAGCCAGCATCCGCACCAGACCCACACTGGGGCCCGGGCAGCCTGGCCGCGTAACCCTCACAACCCAAGACCCCGTAAAGGAATTATAGTACAAAACCCTGGGATTTTCACTCGAGGTAAATTACTCTTTTGCTGCCAACGGTTCTCTGCTCGAGAAACATTTCTCCAGCTGTCCCTAAGGCCTGAGCAGTGGGAATCAAGCAACTGGACATCCCAATCTGCCCATCACCAACTGGATGATTTCTAACATGGTTTGAACATTTCATCAGGAAATACAAATTCTATCTGTAAGAGTAACGCCAGATAGTTCTGGATGACACAAATAAACTGAAGGAACGGGTGACTCAGACACCCACGGTGCGGGGTCACACCGTTGGGCCAAGTTTCCCTCACCCCGCAGCTGTGGTTTCCTGCAGGGCAAAGGGACAGGATCAAAAGTGAGGCCCAGGTCGATGGACAGGAAGGCACATGGGCAGACATGAACCACGCGCATTAGGGCCCTGCTCAGGGGTGCCCCTGACATGAAAAGCTGAATCCTGTTAGACACAGTGCGCCCCGTGACCCACGTATGTGGGAGGAGAGAAGGCGTGAGTCACAGACGCTGCACCACGGCCGTGGCTGACGGGCTGGCCCATCAGGATACAGACGAGACAGACGACGGGGCAAGAAGTCAACGGGAGGTGTGCGGAGGGCCCCCGGGAGTACATGCAGCCTGAGTGGATCTGTTGCTTCCATATAAATATAAATGCCACCAAGGTGTAGCTCTCAGCCCTGTGTTAATGGTCAGCTCTCTTTCTAGTCCCCCGAGATCCCTCCTCCAGCCTTCCCAAATTTCCAGTCCTCCAGCATTCCCAAATTTCCAGTCCTCCAGCATTCCCAAATTTCACCCAAGACGGCCACGTGCACAGTGACCATGTGACACGCGTACAGACCACGCACAGAACGTGTCTGCTGACTAAATGACTTTCCATTTAGCCCACGCAGACTGGCGGTCTTCCTCCACAGCGCGCACCGGGCCGCTGACGTTCATTGTCCAGGTCCCGGTATGCCTCCGTTCTTCAGGGGGACCATTCGGCTTCTTGGAACCTAACATGCTTCTGCCTGGACAAGCTTTCGTGAACTTAGAAAAAGCCAAGGACGCTGTCCAGGAACCAGGGACCTTCCTGGATGCCTTCTAGTCCTGGAGTGTGTGACAGTACCGGCCACCTGTATTTTGCAGCCACCAAGTAAAGATGGCATAATCATCCATGTCCTATGGGAATTAAGGCTTGGATTACCACACCAGGTTGAAAAGGGAAAGAAAATCCCTCTGTCAAAAGCCGTAGGCAAAGAGTAAGAGGGCGGGGAGTGCGTGGCATGAATGACAGAAGTAGGAGGCTACGGGCAGTCGCACACTCAGGCTGCAGGAAAGATGACAGGGGCAGGGACGTTAGCCGTTCTGTTGCAGTTCTTTGACAAACTCCCCTTCTCCCCTGTTCTCTGCTACCAGACACGAAGGGCACTCGTGACGGGTAACGCTCCAATCCTGGTTCTGCTGGGAGTGTGACAAAATTGGCATTCCCCGCAGTGACCTGTGGGGCTACCAGGACTTTGCATTGGCATTCCCCGCAGTGACATGTGGGGCTACCAGGACTGGGGAAGAGGGCAGGGTAAGAGGGCAGGCAAACACAGTGTCCTTCCACAAACCTGGACGGCGCAGCCCGTCACCACACTGAGCGCCTCAGGCAGCTGCAGCGCAATGGCGTCCGTGCATCTGGACATGGAAAGGGAGATGCGCTGCCCTGCGACGTCACGACGGCTATGAGGCCACTGGGTGATAGGAATTTTCATCTCCATTACAGTCTTACCGGACCACTGTTGCACTCGAGGTCCACTGCAGCCGGGAATGCACACGCAGCTCTGTGCCAGGTGGAGCAGATGCACACTACAGGGAAGGGAAGAACCAACAGGCTGCTGCGCCCACGTGGATGTGTTTAACTCAACGGAACTTAGTGCTGGAATTGCTCAGTTGTCTCGCATGTCAGATCACAGCCTCACAGGAAATTCTCCACGTCAGAGGCCTAGAGCATCTTTACTAAGAATCATACGCAGTATGTAAAAGAAATTCTTAAAGCTGGTAACATAAGGGAGGAGAAAGCCCTGTGGTTTTCCTGCCTCCTGGGAGTTCTCTCTGAGACACAGAAGATGATTACTGGAGTGATGGCCTTTGCCAAATAAAATCATCTGGGCTGGGCCTCTTACCAGCTCCGATGCTAATACACATTGCAGGTACCACACTGCATGCTAGCCATAGAATTATTAAATTCTGAAATCAGCTGTTTGCTATTGTTGAAGACAAAATAAGAAAGGATTAACATGTAAGAATCTCTATAAATTGGTAAAGTAAAAATAGCTCAGACAATACACTATTTTATATCTAGATTGGTATATGCATTTTGGATATAATTCATCCTACATGCTAACTTTAAATTAGTTATTTTTTTTCCTTCCTAATGGGGTTGATAAATTAGTTATTTTTATTTGAAAATATATAGCATGGGTTTTTGCATGTGAAGTTTGTTTTCAAGCTTTGTGGCTTTTATTTTTGAATTCGAGAAATCTCCCTTTCCAAAATGTGACATTTTTCAGGTGAGCTGAAAAGGATCAGAAAATACCTTATATGCTATGATTTGTGCAGAATTTCCCAGCCTCCTATCTCATAATTTTCTTCCTCAGTCTCTAATAAAATCATTAAATTCCCAAACCTTTTTTCATGTTCCCTCTGCCTAGAATTTGGCCACCCCCTCACCTTGATTAATTCTGAATTATTCTTGACATTTTTTTGAAATGTCACTCTTCATGGAAGTCTTCGCCAACTCCTTCACCCAGAAGACATCAGGTTTCTTTCTAGCGCGACCTCGTAACACCCTGAACAATTTCTTCATGTCACTCTTCACAATCTGGAATATTATCCACTTGTTTGATAATGTTTCTGATTAAAACGCACCAAATTTCCATTCCGTGCTTGCACTTTTCATCCATTTTCTCACTGACTTTGCCAGTGTTTGCCTGTTGGAGTCAAGACTGTGTTGTTTGGTGCGTACAGCCTCATGGCACTTGACTTTTCCTGGGGTATAGATTGTTCCTTTTATCATTCGGTAACGTCTCTTGCTTTGCATTTTATTTTTTGTTTATTTTTTTGCTGGCATATATAATTCATCCTTTTATTATAAAAAAACGCCGTGTTGTTTTAGGTCCTTTGCTTTAAAACATATACAGTTGACCCTTGAACAACCTGAGGATTAGAGGGTCTGACCTCCATGCAGTCAAAAATCTGTAGAATGTTGGCTCCCCAAAACCCCACCTGCTGACAGCCTGCTGCTGACTGGCAGCCCTACCAATACCATCAATAGCCCATCATCACATACTTTGTATGCCATATGCATTATATGCTGTATTCTTACAATACAGTAAGCTAGAGAAAAGAAAACTGTATTATGAAAATCGTAAGGAAGGGAAAATATATTTACTGCTTAGTGATTGAAAGTGAACCCTAAAGGTCTTTATCCTCGTCCTCTTCATGTGGAGCAGGCTGAGGAGGAGGAGGCAGAGGAAGGCTGGGCCTGCTGCGTCAAGGGTGGCCAGAGCAGGAGAAAATCTACGCAGACGTGGCATACAGTTCAAACCCGCGTCGTTCAAGGATCAGCCGTATCTAAGTGCTGCTTTCTGTTTTCTTCGCTGTGCCCACTGGATTGCCCACATCTATATTTATCGTGATCACTGCATATTTGCACTCCTCGTCCCCTTATTTTATGTTTTATTCACCGTGCTTCCATTTTTCTCTCTGCTACCTTCTTTTGCACTGGTAATGTGCTCTTTGGGCCTGTCCTTTCCTATTTCTTTTTAATTGAGTAAGAATTTGTATCACTTATGAATAAGTCTGCATGAGTATGATCAAAACAGAAATAATATTAGCTTAAGCAAATTTACTCTTTAAATAATTAAAATTATTGCATTAATTATAATAAAAAAATATAAAATGAAACCGTAAGCTGCGCAGGTCAAGCACGGCGCTACGGACTCTAGTGCCTCTTATCCCCCTGTCCTGCCATCCTGGGCACCCGGCTCACTGGTCACGGCCCACGATTGACCTCTTGAGTTCCAGGGACATATAATTTTTACAAGTGACCTGTGACATTCCCCAAAGCATTCGCTGTGGCTCTAGTCACACGACCACACTTTGCCTCCAAGGCTGCTGTCAGTGCAGTCTCCAGTCTGGGCAGCCGAGTGCCCGGGCAGCACTGGACGTTCTAGCACGACGAGGAGGACAGAAACAGTACGAGGGTGACACGCCGCCCCGCCATGCAGGGAGAGTCACAGCACCGTCCCTCAGCAGTGATGGCTCACACCTCACTCTAAGTCACTTCTAGGCTTTACCAACAAGCTGAAGTTTTCATTACCTATTCCCCAAAACAACACTAGGATGTTAGCAATCAGTCATCAACTGCCACCCACATCAAACTCATCACTGATTTCTAACATTTTGGTTCAAACAATTTTAGCCACATAAAATTGGTCTCTGGCTTTTTTAGAGTTAAAATTAATTAAATTTACCATCATATATTACCAATTTCAGGTAATTTGTCCAAATTTACCACTATTTTTTGCATTTTACTCTATTCCCAGGTATTATTTTATTCTTCTTTGAAAGTATGTGTTTCAGTAGTTCTTTTAGAAGGGGTCTGATGATAAAAATTCTCTCTCTGTCATTGTCTGTCATTGTCATTATTTTCCCTCGCTTTCAGATTATAATTTAACTTAGTGCAGAATTTTAGATTATGATTTACTTCCTTCAGTGTTAAAGTTGTAGCTCCATTCTCTTCCCGTACCTACTGTTAGTAGTAACATAATTTGCTGCAGGTATAATTGTCTTGCTTTTGAGATAAGCAGTCTTTTTTTCTCTGTGGCATGTTTATCATTTTTTTCTTTATATTTTCTATTCTTTAATATGATGTAGGTGTGGATTTTTTCAGTCTTCCATGCTTCCATGACAATTTCTGCACATATATTTTACATGGTACTTTTCATTCCCACACCCCCCACGCCCCCTCTGGAACCCAAACTGCCCAGATACATGACACTTTTAATATGGAAAGTTTGGGGTGATCATATTTTTACATATTGTCACTTCATTTACATTTTTCACTTAATCTCAACTTCTGGAACTCCTCTTAGATGTCTTCTGATTTAACTATTTCTCCCTAACACTAAACTGATTCTTTGTATTTGATTTCATTTCACTCCATCTCTGCCCTCCTATTTCTGTGCTTCAAAATCACATATGAGTGTCACAATACCGTATCTTAGAGGTGCCTATTTTTGTTTTTAGGGTTAATTAATTAATTTTTTGAGACAGTCTTGCTCTGTCTCTCAGGCTGGAGTGCAGAGGCAGGATTACAGCTCACTGCAGCCTTGAACTCCTGGGCTCAAGTGAGTCTCCTAGATCAGCCTCCTGAGTAGCTGGGACCACAGGCACAGGCCACTATGCATAGCTAAATTTTTTAAAAATGTGTAGAGATAGGAGTCTCTCTGTGTTACCCAGGCTGGTCTCAAACTCCAGGCCTCAAACAATCCTCCCACCTTGGCCTCCCAAAGAGCTGGGATTACAGGTGTGAGCCTTTCTGCATGGCTCTTAGTGTTATTTTAATAACTCTGTCTATCTACCTATTGATCTATTGCCCATTGAGATACAGAGATACTGGAAGATCGGGGAGAAAGCGAGGAAGAGATGTTGATTTCTATTTAGGTTCTCTAATTAAATCATTTTCATATATAACTAATCTCATTTCATTTCTCCTGGCTTTTGATGAATCTTTTCTTGTTCTCTTTAATGCGTATTATCCTTATTATCTTTCTGACTATGAATACTATTTTTTATCAACATTAAGTTCAGATTACTGTATTTTGCTCACAGTGCTAGTGGTGAATTTATTTGTTAGTAACTGATTTTGTTTCCTGGCTGCAAAGCACAGGTTAATCTTAGCTGGTCTGGACTGACTCCTGGTTTATCTCAAGGTATTTACTGACTGTTGGCCAACAGAACAAAATGTATTAACTGAAAGCAAGAAAATGGCATTCCATAGCAACGGGTCTGAGTTTTCTGGAGGGTGTGATGTATGGGCCTGTCAACATTATTTAGCTAAAATAATTTGATTTGTGATTTGTACCTCGTTGTGTGAGGACCGGCTCATTTTGGTGCTTAAAGCCTGAGCACGTGATTTTAATGCGCCTGTGGGAACACCCCTAGTAAGAGCCTCCACCGCAAGCCTCTGCACTTGGCAGCAGACCGTGTCTGAACTCCTGCTCCTAACCCCCGGCGGGCAGGGACTCTACTCGAACCCCTGTTTTCGAACAGCGACCCTGGTTCTAAGTTCCCTACAAGAACACCTTTCATGTCTGTTTTCCCAACAAGCTGAGCTGCAGGCCCCGATGCGTGTCAGACCCGGGTCCAGCACCCACAGCCCGGCCCGGCCCCGCCCGCCCCTCTGTCTCTCCTCCAGGAGAGGCTTGTCCCGTGTGGCGAAAGACCTTACATTGTCTTTCTCTCTTCATGTTTCATTTGTATCATCTCTCTGGAGCATTAACTGACACATTAAATTTAAAAAGTAAACCACCAAAAATTAATTTGAGTCTAATCTTCACCCCAATATTCAGATAAATTCATATATTTTTAAATACAGATTAATAGAATCCGATGAATAAAAACCTGGTCTCATGTTGAGTTTTTAATCTGTATTGAATCCTGTTCTGTGAAAGCTATTATACTACCCCTATTAGAGGTATGACAAAACAAGATAACAGAATATATTTATTATAGCCTAAATATATATTAATAAATTGTTTTAGTAGACAAGCCAAAGGGATATTCACATTTGCTGAATAGAAAGAGTATAAATCTATTTGATATTAATTATCTTCTGTAAATACAAACATCCCTCCACTTTACTATCATATTTTATTCCCTCACAATATAAGGTCATAAAAATCACAGCTGCCGTGATCAAAGCATTTGAGAACACATCACACTATTAACATCACAAGGATGGATGGCTCACTCACTAGAGAAACTGACACTGCTCAGTGCAGGTGGCAGAAGAGTAAGACGCATTTAGCTTCTGCAGCTAGAAGTTTAGTCTGAGGAAGTTTGCTCACCTCCAGTGGATTACAGAACTGAGCAAAGAAACACCAGAGACAGAGAGGGCTGGGTCTGAAATAGAATATTATTATACAGAAATGGAGAAGAAAGAAAAAAAATAAAAACTGAGATTTATTCACCTGCCAGCAATCTTTCCCTCTCCTCATTTCTTTCCCTCTGGGGACCTGCCCCTGCTCACGTCACTGTGTTTCTATTCCAACGACAGAAACGCAACCACCTGAGCTATAAAGGGAATATGTGGCCTGAATTCTGCCAATCAGAGTCAGTTCTTCTGGACTTTATATCTGGACCTCGTATAGAGGGAGTGAGGTTAGTTATTCCTTTATTTGAAATATTTAGAGTCCCTGTAGTCCTTCCTGTTTCCTAAACCTAGCCAGGGATGGCA